ATTTTTCGCATTTGTCGCCATTATGCGAATGTGACCTTGCCTCATTTAGCCTCGTTTTGGTATAAATATGAATATTCATCAGGACTCATTAAGAAAGGTCTATGAGACACGAGGCTTCAGTAGCTTCATGGGATTATAGTCATGTGATGCCAGTTATAACATATGTTACAATGTGAATGTAGCTTTAAAGTCTGTATGATAAAATATAACCAAAAAAACAAAAACAAAACAAAACAAAACAAAAAAACAATCAGTGACAAGCGTCAAAAGTGCAATAGTTACAATGAAACCTTCTCCTTTTATACATAGCAGTAACAACTGCGGCTACGGGAATAGCTTAACTATCATTTTGCATAATGTTTTTGAATTGTTCTTCTATTTAAGGAAATAAATGCTGGAAAAGCGGTCTGTAGAAAAATCATATCGTAGATCGGAATAATATTCGCATTCAGTCAAAAAATGTATCTCAACCTCGACGCACGAGCGATCACATTGCCTACATACGCGGAGTTGGAGTACATCTGTGTTGACCTTGAGCCTATTGTGAACAGCGATCGGCTTACCCTGGGATGACTCTTGTGGTAATGCTAAAGGTAATTCTAATTCAACTTAGTATGTAACACGAGTTCTGATTGGTCAATGCTATAAATTTCCGACCGTATAATCAGCATATACGGTCGCAATTTGAAAACCTATTCATCAAAACCTTTGAATGTATCCCTACACTATTGGGGTAACGCTATTTTTCAGGGCATTGTCATTTGCAGAAACCCTAGGTCAGTTTAACTACCCTTATCCCGCTAAAATGCACGGAATGTGTGTTAAAAAAGAGTATCATAAATTTAATTGTAAGTTCAAACAACTTACTCGCAACGGGCTGTTGACCCAACACTGTTAGTAGAGCATGAAACAACAGAACAGATAGTGGCCCGTAGTTGAGGAATCACCGTTTGACAGACATTGAATCAAATCATGTAGAATGCGTAACATTTTCAGCAAATATTATAAGAATTTAAAAATCTCTTAAACATTAAACCCATGGCAAGATAGGAGATCTAGCTACCTATGACTCTTTCTTTGTTCTGGGGACGTGGGTGGTGGTGGTTGGGCGACGTGGTGGGCGAGCTGGCTAAGGCGCCAGGCTAGTGATCCAGTGAGCATGAGGTGCCGGGATCGAGCCCACCTGTGACCGGGTGTAAAATACCTTGGAGTCCACTTTGTGTGCAGACTCTTTCAGTGTTGTCACAACCCCTAGTGTACACTACACAACCCTGTGCACTTTAAAGAGCTCACGTATCTGTTGGTATATGACCAGATGGTGGCCACATGAATACGTGCAAACACCTATTATAGTTGCGGGTACAGCAACGTGCAATGAACTTGGACAAAATACAGTCAACTCTCGTTAATCCGACACTTGTTGTTGCAGAGAAATATGTCGGATTAACGGAAATGTCGGATTAATGAAAATGTCGGATTAATGTATTTGTGTGAAAATATCAATGTTTACTAAATGTCATGATCGTCATACTGTTGCATGCATATCAGAAATGGTAGATCTAGTTATCTTCATCGTACGTAAAAATATTCACAGAAATAAAAAATACTAACAATACATACTTGTTATCATTTATTAACATTCATAGATGGCATAACATACATATATAATCACGTAAGCGAACAGTTTCATATCTATTTCATGACCACATTGGCACAAAACTCACGTTTGTTTTTACCGCATATCAGCAGCCATTATGACCCGGATGTTGAATATGTTACCGTTTCCATACAACTAATTCCATAATAACATGTGGACGTCTAATGTACAATCAGGCGTTTATCATAACATATATAATTTATAACTTGAAAAAGTCTTTGATGGTCATTAACATCAAACACGTCTAAGTGGTGTGTCAGAAATGTTTGCACTGTGACTATGTGTCCCAGTCCACCCAGCTGTGAATGGGTACCTCGTTAGGAAGGGAAAGCCGCAATAACTCGGTGCGCCTTGTGGCAGCAAGAGTGTATGGTTCGTTTTTGGATGTATCTTCGCGTGCGTAGTGCTTAGAAATTTGTCTCATCAATGTTTTGGTTATGACTGGTACTGCGAACATCACCGCAAATAGTTCTAAGTGCATCAAGATTAGGTTTTTCAAGTGTTAGTGCTTGTTGTTTGGTACAGTTGTCCAAAATGTGACAACAATAATCGAAAATAGGCAAAATAAATTGTACATGGTTTGTAGGGTTTTTTTTACGTGATAGATGATATTTATACCTCTCAGAGATGATATTTATACCTCTAAGACAAGTTTACCGTGGATGCAACCTTTTAACGGTACAATTAACTAGTGCTAGTCACATAATGGACTATCTACCTCTGAACGACTTTCAGGAATATCTCCATTTGGAGCTGCTACTCTTGCCTGATCTGCAAAGACGTCATTCATTATGTTTGCTATTTCAGCATTATCATCATATAGGTTATCGTTATGGATTATCGAAGGAAAACTGTTAATAGTGGCGGTATGTTTACTTTATATATAATTCTTATAACTAAACGCCACCAAGCTTTTGTACCATGTTCATCGTTTATCTGTTCATCTATTTTATTCATGTACACCTTCTTTGCTTTTCTTGCAGCGGATATAACTTTATTTCTTCCCAATGTGAAAAGTGCCCAGTTAACGAAACGGTTAATATTTTCAGAGGCAAAGACAACATGCCAATCAAGAGTATATACAGCATTGCTAATTCCGTCAGTATCAGTTTGAGTATAACATTTTTATATATTTCCCTCTTGTAATTAGTCAATTTTGCAATCGTCTATTTGATAGTGACACATACAGGGCAATGATAGTGACACATACAGGGCAATGATAGTGACACATACAGGGCAATGATCGCTCCAAGCAGGATCTGTGAAAAGATCACCAACTACAATTGTGTCCATATTAGGATCAGCAGAGTTATTGATAGAATGATAGAGTCCTCTATTAAATCCCAGTAAGCTTCTGTTTTGTCTGCAAAATCGTTCCCATAAGATAATTCTGTTTTTTAAATGGTATTTTTATCCACATCGCCTCAAGCCCTGATGAATATCACCGCAGATCAAGAGAAGAAGAGACACTACCAAAGAGACTTTGGCATTGTATAGGCAAAGAACTGTTAAAGAATAAGAAATCTTTTAGTGAGTGAGTGAGTGAGTTTAGTTTTACGCCACACTCAGCAATATTCCAGCTATATGGCGTCTGTAAATAATCGACTCTGGACCATACAATCCAGTGATCTACAGCATGAGCATCGATCTGCGCAATTAGGAACTGATGACATGTGTCAACCAACCATCGAGCCTGACCACCCGATCCCGTTAGTCGCCTCTTACGACAAGCATGGGTTACTGAAGACTCATTGTAACCCGGACCTTCACGGGTAGAAATCTTTCAAAGCTTGTTGGCAGATTTGTTTTGAATAAGACAAACAGAAGAACCCACCACTAGTCTATACTGTACAATATCAATCATCATCGAATAATTTAATCATAATAACGTGGGCGAGCTCTCTCTTGAGAAATATAACTGATCCAATTTCCTACATAAATTAAAATGCAATATAAATGTGTATTTAAAGTAGGTTAGAGATGGAAACCTTCATATGTAACAGGAAAAGCAACAGTGGAAAACAAAACAACATAGAACATCCTGTTTTGTGAACCTGCGTAGTGACCTTGTCTTAAGCTCGGCTGTACATATAGATACTCAGGATGCAAGAGCATCCGTTACGTCATACAAATGTGATGGACAGATTGTACCTGACAAATATCTTTAGAAAGAAACAGTGTACACAACAAGTAGTAGCAATGGGTATATACCAGAGAGATATCAACTAACTGTTGGGGTAAGTCACTCGTTAACAAATATCACAGCTACATATAGGAATATTAATATTCCCAGTTTCAATAATATTGATCACGTGATTATGATAATCTGTGAAACAGTTCAACATGCGTCACTAATTCGAAGATATTCGTAATATCTTTGAAAGCATATGCTCTAGGGTGGGTGGTTCGATCCTCGACAGAGCCATGGCAAAAAGCGTTACAAACCTTCTTCCTTGTTACCCTGTCTGGCTCTCGACTTTGAAAAACGAAAAGCAAGGACTGGTCAATATACAGAGTCTTAATCGGTAATCAATGATAAACTGCGGGTGTGGTATCTCCGTGGCTTAACACTCTTTCCGTTTTTAAGAGTACAAGCAACCAGACACATAGTGCAATGTTCTTGAACGATAAAGCCTCAAGCCTCATTTCACCTCATCTCATCTGCTAATCAACATTAGCACTCAAGTACGTGTTGCCAGTGACCATTGAGTAATCTATGGGGAACGATACGTATCTGGATTGAGTTATTTTTTAATAATGACCTATGATAGCTTATTCCTAATGAAATACCCTCATAAACCACATTAACTATACCCAGTAGCTAAATAGGTCGATACTAGCCTGTATATGATGCTATCTACAACATTTCATAATGCAAAATTGACAACGACATATTTAACTGACTGGTAATTATTGTTTGATAGGCGTTTCTCACCAGTTGACGGATGATAAAGTAGTGACACAGACTGATGACATAGTTTATAAATGGATAGCAATCTTACTTGTCTTGTTATCTTCATCGTATAATTCACCCTCCATCCTTTTCTTTGTCAGTACTGGGTCATTCCACTCATATCGTTCAGACAGTTAGGTTACCTTGAAGGTCTTACATGTGTCTTTAAAGGGAAGACCTCTTGTTGAATCTACTCTTTATTTTTTTAAAGGAAACACACAAATTATAGTTCTGTGTACATGTTAAGCTTCTGCATAATATACATTCATCATAGTTGATGTCATTGCCATTCCTTCTTCGGAATGTGTTCGAATTTTATCTCCTAACAGATGTAAAACATCATCAAAGATGTACAAGAATCCTTTCAAGATTTGCCTTTTTGTCTGTTAGGGCGGAGTACAGGATGAGGCTGTTCCCCTCACTGGCACGTGTCCTTGTCATGGTTTTCGCGATACAAGTGGAAGGTAAGGTGTCATCTTCTGTTTGATCTACAGTTGGAGACATTTCATGTAATAAAACGAATGCTTTCATCCGAAGTTGAAACAAATGTTTGTCGGGCACAGATTTTTCGAAAGTGAAGACTGAGGTAGGATTTGTCTATCTTATTACTGAAAACGCAAGTGAAGCGATCATTGCAGTACAGCTGTCAAGTATACACAACAGTGTCTACTTCATGCCATGCGGGATACCTGGAAAACAACATTCCCTAAGGTGGCGCATCAGTTCTTCTGTGACTGCAGCCTTTACGTAGTACTGTCCAAAAAAGGTTATAGAATTTTGAAGGGAAAGTCTAGCTTCAGAACTCTGTTCAGCGAATGATATCGGTTTTAGATGAATGAGTAGTGAGTTTTTGTGAAAATTATCGTTTTTGCACACTTCATCATTTTCACCCGTTTTCACGGGTCAATTAATGATCTTTCAGGACAAAGGGGTTGGGGTGGTGCGTGCCTCCTGCTGAAATTTAAATTGAGTAGACCCGTGAAGATACGGGTTACAATTGGCCTTCAGCAACCCATGCTTGTCGTAAGAGGCGACTAACGTGAATTGGGGGCTCAGGCTCGCAGACACATGTCATCGTATTCCAACAGATTGATGCTCTTGATGTTGATCACTGGATTGCCTGGTCCAGACTCGATTATTTACAGACCGCGGCCATATAGCTGGAATATTGCAGTGCAGCGTTAAACGACAAACCGAATTACAAATTAAATATGGTTGCATCAGTATATTAAACCATAGCGTTATATATCCTCTTAATTTATCATTCCATTATGGGACTGAAGTATATACATAATATTAATTATACCTATATTTAGACATCGTATTTTCATTACATTTAGTATTTTCAATTCCCATTCAAGTCATTCTCAGTACCTTTGCCGTGAGTATTATCAAGACTGAAATGTTCACAGACGCATCAGAAACAAGTACATCCTGCCCCAACGCTGCCTGTATCGGTCAGGCTGTCAACATCACGTGTGACATCACAGGAGTATACGAGTCTATTGGGTGGTCCCGGCCGGATAATATTGAAGTGGTAACCTGCCTGCGGAACGGTGGTAAATGCTACATAAACGTTCCGAATTATGAGACAGTCTTAGTTTCCGATGAAAACACATACTTCGCATCAAGGAGTTTTCGACACGTGATTCAGGCACCTGGAATTGTCGTGATGGCACGAATCCTCTCAAGAAAACTTGTCACGTGACTGCACATGGTAAGCTCAACTGTAAAATTTGACCAGATTGAGCTTGTTATTTAACCTGATGTATGTACTTGAAGCAGTAGACCAGTAAAATAATTAAAGATGGATTTGTTAAAGGGTGTGAGAGATGAAAAGAAGAAACAAAAATAGTTATCAAATCAACTTGACAAACAAATTATTCTTATGAAGTTGCAAATGTCGTTCTTGCAAGGCATTTAGAAGTTGGATGAACATGAGTACATGACAGTACATCGGTTCCCAATTGCGCTGATCGATGCTTATGCTGTTGATCACTGGATTTTCTGGTCCAGGCTCGATTATTTACAGACCGCCGCCATATAGCTGGAATATTGCTGAGTGCGGCGTAAAACTAAACTCACTCACTCACCCGTGAAAAACCGGGTTAGAATTGATCTTCAGTAACCCATGTTTGTCGAAAGAGGCGACTAACGGGATCGGGTGGTCAGGCTCGCTGACTTGGTTGACACCAGACTCGATTATATACAGACCGCCGGCATAAAGCTGGAATATTGCTTTACTGCAACGTAAAACTAAACTCACTCACTATTTTTTATAAAATGTTTCAGAGCTTGATGATAATATACTCATGCCAATAATGGTTGTCACCCCTCTCCCCACCCCACCCCACACCCCCTCTCCAATTAAAAAATTGAAGGTTGTGACAACCATTATTGGCATGAGTATACTTTTCCTTATTGAAGGAACAGGAATTAGCTCTGAAACGTCGTATAAAGAGTAGAAACAGACTGTTATCCATAAAACGTGTCATGTAACATCGGAAGTAACTTTGTTTTCAAATCAATAAACATCACTTGTCAGTATTTTAAACCAACGTGCAAGTATTAGCATTGAGAAACAATACGTACTGTCCTTGATGGGATGGCTGAGGCAGATGGATAGTCTCACAACAGGTCATGATCTCTCTGACTTGTCTGTCTCCTGCCTCCAGTTAATGGTGTATCATATCGCGTATACCTAATTACAACATGTATTTCGAGCATCTGGTATAGGACCATGAGCCTTGTACCTTTTACTTCAATATAATTGCAACAAATGATTTCAAAATGTTTTTTGTGATGTCTTACAGATACATTTTAGACACATGTCATCGCTTCCAAATTGCACAGATCGATGCTGTTGATCATTGGATTGTCTGTTCCTGACTCGATTATTCACAGACCGCCGCCATATAGCTGGCATATTGCTGAGTGCGGCGTAAAACTAAACTCCCTCACTCACTCAGATACATTTTAATTATTATTGAAGCGTTGGCTATGCGATGCATTTTTCAGAGGACCTGGGTGATGTTGCATCAAGACTGCACCTTAATTGTGCACCACTGAAGAATGAGACGTTCCGTGTTTTGGACATATGTACGGGGTTGAGCGCTGATCCAAGAGTTAACGTGACGGTGAGGCAGTCTCTGACATGTATTTGTGTCTCTAACAAAGACCAGTACCCATGCATGAACATATGATAAATGTAACATCCTGTGTGGACTTTGATTGTATTATAGAAATGTTATTCCAGTCCAAATGTTTTTGACACGACCAGGGACCCAACTCTGCACAGCAAATTGTATCAACAATGTTATTCGTGTTATCGCTAGTTTGGTTAGTCCAGGAGGTTTTCAGTTTGTATAATCCATAGATCTAGAGCCGCAAGGGTTGTCACAAACGTATTTACTCACTGACACCAGGGGCGGATCCAGGCTTTAGAAAAGGGGGTTAGGGGTGCACATAAATCATGAAGTCCAAATGTTAGGGGGGAAATGCTCCACATGGAAAAACAAATCTCGGAGGAAAAGGGGAAGGGGGATGCGCCACTGTTCACTCACTAGAACTAGAAAACGGATGGTACGGAATTTAACAATATTGACTCGAGACAACACAACATCAATTTTCCTTTTCCTTTTTTCAGTTGAAGCTCATGGATGGTGAACGGACATATAATGGGTTGACAGGCGATGTTGCAGTTCCAGTTCCCGACGCAGCCCATGATGTCAATACAACATGTTGTGTGGTTGGTCCTGGAACAAACTGCCTCGACCTCTCCCAACGGCAACGGACAGCCGTGTGTTCACGCCCAGGTAATGATGTTGAAACAATGTGGCTAGTGTATTTCCCTCCTCATGCCAATGTGCATTTGTGCCTGTGGACAACTTCTTATGGGTTGAAGACTTAGAGCTCAAGTTGGCTAACATTTTGTAGGATACACATATGCTAGAGATACTTCAAACGGTGTGAAGCGGAGAGTGGTTGTATTGGCTTTGTCACGAATGACTGCATGACTAGCAGACAGTGGTATGAGCAAAGGTGGCTCAATAATGCCCAACCTTTACCTAGCAGGCAGAGGTATCAGCCGAGCTGCTCACTGACACCCAACCTTTACCTAGCAGACTCTGGTATCAGCCGAGGCTGCTCACTGACACCCAACCTTTACCTAGCAAACAGTGGTATCAGCCGAGGTTGCTCACTGACACCCAACCTTTACCTAGCAAACAATGGTATCAGCCGAGCTGCTCACTAACACCAAACCTTTACCTAGCAAACAGTGGTATCAGCCGAGCTGCTCACTAATACCCAACCTTTACCTAGCAGACAGTGGTATCAGCCAAGGTTGCTCACTAATACCCAACATTTACCTAGCAAACAGTGGTATCAGCCGAGGTTGCTCACTGACACCCAACCTTTACCTAGCAGACAGTGGTCTCAGCCGAGGTTGCTACCAGACAGTGGTCTCAGCACCAACCTTTACCTAGCAAACAGTGGTATCAGCCGAGGTTGCTCTCTGACACCCAACCTTTACCTAGCAGACAGTGGTATCAGCCAAGATTGCTCACTGGTTGCTCACTGACTCACCCATTCAACCTTTACCCAGCAGAACCTTTACCTGAGCAGACAGTGGTATCAGCCGAGCTGCTCACTAATACCCAACCTTTACCTAGCAGACAGTGGTATCAGCCAAGGTTGCTCACTAATACCCAACATTTACCTAGCAAACAGTGGTATCAGCCGAGGTTGCTCACTGACACCCAACCTTTACCTAGCAGACAGTGGTCTCAGCCGAGGTTGCTCACTGACACCCAACCTTTACCTACCAGACAGTGGTCTCAGCCGAGCTGCTCACTGACACCCAACCTTTACCTAGCAAACAGTGGTATCAGCCGAGGTTGCTCACTGACACCCAACCTTTACCTAGCAGACAGTGGTATCAGCCAAGATTGCTCACTGACACCCACCCTTTACCTAGCAGACAGTGGTATCAGCCAAGTTTGCTCACTGACATTCAACCTTTACCTAGCAGACAGTGGTATCAGCCGAGGTTGCTAAATGAAAAGACTTGCGTATGGAATCTGGACAGTAAATTTATTATTTTACAAAACAAATCATGTACTTACACTCATATATCAATCTTAATAATTTGGGAGATTGCACGGTAACATGGAGTATTTATGTTGCCTTTCGTAAAGGACCCATGCCCGTACTATTTTGATAAATTGTTACCATTACAAAATCCACTTTAATCTCATTGTAGGTAAACCTAAAGCGAATTCTCACATGCGTTCGACAGGTCATGCAGATGAACCCACGTTGAGTGGTGCAGTGGTCATCGTTGTTGGTGTGATGTTGGCGGTTAGAGGCTTGTGAATTACCTTGGCTTACCTCTTTTGAAGGAAGATCAGACGATATCATACGAGTCAGTATGAACACCTGGCAATGGAGACAATAAAACGTTCCTAAATGACATCCACATGTTGCTTAATTTGTCTTGCCTGAGGTCGTCCAAAGACATAAAGTCACGCTTGACTTAATCAGTGTTCCATTCACGTCATGGCGTGGTAGTTTGATTGGAAGGAAGCCTGAAGGGACGCGATAATTAGACATTACCGCTTTGTGAAACACACGATTAGTTGAATGGTGCTGACCAAACAAACGTAAACGATGGGACGCAACTTGTTACACTGATGACCTCTGGTTCCGAGGCGACTTAATGGTTGAATTTAAAATACCGAGCAGAAGGAAAGCTAAAATGTTCTGAGAGGATGTCTTCCGATTTATGAGAAATTCTGGATAAAGTGTCACGAACTTTGTACGACTTTCTGCAATTTTAGTTACTCTATGTTTAACCATAACTGTCTTCGTAAGGAACTGTTGAAACGTTTTATTTTTCTGAGACAAGGTCTGTTTTTAATAATATCAATGAGCAAAGGTGAATGCAGCAAACATGTTCCTTTTATCCCATCAATGATTTTTCACGAGGACGTGGACGCACAAATGTACAGGAAGGTTTGTTTAGTGTTTAACGTCGCACTCGTCAGTATTTCGGCTTTGTCGCGGCGGTCTGAAAATAATCGAATCTGGGCCAGACAGTCCAGCGATTAACATCATGAGCTTCGATCCACACAACTGGGACAAGATCGCATGTGTCTACCAAGTCATCGCGCCTCACCACCCGATCCGGTTAGTCGCCTCAAGCTTGGGTTGCTGAAGACCGATTCTAGCACGGGTCTAAAACGTTTAATTGATTGTTTTATTCAGAAATGGTATCATGACATTACTTCAGGTAGTACATTATGGCTATACAGTAATATCAAATGTGAATTTGGATATGAATTATACTTAGATGCTTCACATCCAAACACTGTTAGGTATTTAACTATGTTACGAATTTTGTGTCATGAATGAAACTGGGCGTTATGAAAATATTGATAGGCAGAAAAGATACTGTATCTACTTTAAAGAAAATAATGTAAATGTAATTGAAGATGAATATCATTTCGTTTTAATTTGCCCAAAACATACTGTCGTAAAAGGTGACTAACGGGATCTGATGGTCAGGTGCGCTGACTTGGTTGACACGTCATCGGTTCCCAGTTGCGTAAATCGATGCTCACGCTGTTGATCACTGTATTGTCTGGTTCAGACTCGATCATTTACAGACCGCAGAGATATAGCTGAATTGCGGCGATAAAAACCAACAAACCAACCAAATCACGCCAAGACCCAGTTTTGATTCAACCACATTTGAGTCAGTCCCCTGTCATGTTATTGCAAAAAGCAGCGTAAAACCACAATCACTGACTCTATTTATGAGATGTTGCTCGTGAATTATGCTACTATGTAATCTTGATGTTTCCCTGTTAAATATTCGACATACGTCACATCTGTAATGAATCGCCCTGTCGCATATTCCACTTCAAACCGAGGAAGTAGAAATCAGAAACACTTCGTACCACTCGACTAAATCAACAACGGTCCAGTCTAAGACGCAGAAGGTCAAACCCACGACTGACTGCAGGGGAAGTCCACAGTCCCGCTGAGTCCAAACTCATGAAATAGTTTTGTTACAGTGATTTCAAATAACGACATGTGATTCAAAATATTTGTCTCATGTTCAAAGGAGTTGTATAATTTGTGTCCGCCTCTAGCGACTTGAATGTATGATTCGTCACATCCACCTACTCAGTATAATCTAAGGAATGTACATGTATCCGTGTCTGTTTGAACCAGATAAAGAGGCAGAAATAATTCAGCCAAATTCTGACGTACAATATGCTTACATCGAGGGCAGGAAGTCTGTACTATCTATTTACACACGGCATATCGCCGTAACTAGTCGCTACATCGAGTTTGCTTGACCAACACATCTCTCCGTAAGTTCATCAGATTTTTACGAAAGGAAACATAACCATTTCATAACTTGATTTCCAATTTAAGGTTTTAGTATTATACATTCTAACGCATTTTTCCAGATTTATGTGGCACACTTCCATCCGTTTGGTAAACACATGAAATAAGAATCCATGTTTTGTCCTGAGTTCCCCATATAATAGCAAACATTGTGCACATATCCAGTGTAGACCCGACTTTCTTTAATGAAACAGCGTATGCCACAATTACAAGAGTTGTATGCTCCCCAGGGAGTTGAGATTGACAATACGATGTGCCGTTGAGATTGTCATCCAGTGAACGAGGGAAAAACAAAGCGCCTTTGAGCAGCTGAGCTGAGCTGGATATCGGCGCTATACAAATGTTAGTATGTATGTATGTAAGAGTTTGCATTGATGATGTTGAAAGTTGACTTTAATATGACTTACCCCGGACTCTCAGCATGGTAAGTCAGTGCTGCACCTGGGACGAGAAGTATGACCCAAGTGTCGTCACATTCATATCTGACGGGGCAACCTAAGTGGAAGGATTTAAGTTTAAGTTTATTTGTTCTAAGCGTATTACGCACCAATACAAAATCAGCACCCAAAAGGGATTTCTCTTCTTGGTACTAGGGTATTCCTGGTACTGCTATATACTGTATCTTCCAGTCACAACACGTGTTTCAGCACCTGCTGGGATCCCGTCTCACAAAGCTATCGTAGCGCTACGACTGTCGTACCTCCTATACTGAAGGTGTCCTCCCACTTCACCTATTTTTACCCGTTAGGTACGGAAAATTTATTACGTAATGTCATGTCTGGTTGATTACTCAGGATTAGGTGAAGTGGGTATGGGAGAGTCCATATATTGTGATCAGAGGGGGTTTAGCAACCACAGGGGTTAAAGAATGACAAAACGCAGTGATAGAATTAATGAATATATTTTATATATCTTCTATATATTTTATATATCTTCTATATATTTTATATATTCAGTTGCTATTCATCGCCGGCTCATACAAGTATCAGTGGCATAGAGACATACAAAATCACACTGGATTGTGAGAACTCAGTTTTAAATTGTCAATTATTTCAAGTAATCAAAAACATGTATAAAATCGTTTGTGCATATGGGCATGGAAGTAAATTCAGATGAGTCAAAATATGTTTTATCGCAATGGTGGTTATCTTAAAAAGGTTGAAAAATGGTTCTACAGAGATATGGAGATGTCAGTAATTACACAATATAAATACCTTGGTATAATATTCACTTCTAGACTAGTATGGTCACGTGCATGTGAGACTATTGCTTTGCAAGTCAGGAAAGCGTGTTTTCCTATATTTAGTATATTCAGTAAATATTCTGATATATCACTTAAAACAGTTACTAAAATGTTTGACACTAAAATATTAAGAGTAAGAAAAGTAAAGAAAGAGTTGACCGATCTGCCCTAATATGTGATAAGTGTGACAATATGGCTGTCGATGATGACTTTCATTTTGGGTTGTCCTTACTATAATAGTAGCAGAAATAAATTAATTCCAAAATATTTTCATCGCTATCCTTCCCGGGAAAAAATACAACAACTTATGCCTTCAACAAATGTTGATATTTTGAAGGGACTTGCATTGTATTTCAAAAGTAATATCTAAATGATTCCCATATTTTGCAGTAACAAGATTTCATGTGTTATATAAACTGAATTATCATTATTATTGTTAGATGTTGTTGTAAGAATTAATGGAGAACGTGGAGAAGGACACCCCAACTTGGGAACTTAGCCTGCTCCGGTGAGACGCCACGGTTCAGTGGTTACAGATATTAGGTGTTCTGGGCTCTCTGCTAATTAGGTGATGTGGGAGACACTGACTGACTGACTGAGTTTAGTTTTACGCCGCTTTTAGCAATATTCCAGCAATATCACGGCGGGGGACACCAGAACTGGGCTTCACATATTGTGCCCATGTGGGGAATCGAACCCGGGTCTTCGGCGTGACGAGCCAACGCTTTAACCACTAGGCTACCCCACCGACCCTGATGTGGGAGAAGGTTAGGCAGGAATATTAGGTGATGTGGGTATACTCCATGTAACATTGACTTACGACAGTCGTAGCGCTACGATAGCTTTGTGAAACGTGGCCTTGTGACTGCCGTGTGTCTTAAGATAATGCTATAACACACATGATATGACACAATGCTTTTATGTTCTGCTTTGTACTAAAATAATAAGCTGTCTTAGGTCGTCGATGTTGTCAATATAGGCTTACTCTGTATTTCATTTTGCGACGCTCCCCATCCTGTTATGAAGTCTCGCGAGACTATTCACAATGTTTCGAGACCTGTGCCTTAAATGAACCAGTTTTCAAGTTCGCTCCGACAGATTTTCTCATGCTTCCATGTTTGAGATACTCCCACCAACCTTATGTTTATTTAAAATTATTTTTTCTCACTTATTAAATCAACTTTCATGATAGTATATTGTTATACCGTTGCTGGCAATAACTTCCTTACCCCCTTGGCTCACGTGGTACATGTATACCTCATACATTTACGGTATAGTGGACTTGATATTTATTCATTTATTCATTACCATTTTACAAATTGTTGCACAGTTTTAAGAGTGAGTGAGTTTTACGCCGCTTTTAGCAATATTTGAGCAATATCACGGCGGGGGACACCAGAAATGGGCTTCACACATTGTACCCATGTGGGGAATAGAATCCGGGTCTTCAGCGTGACGAGCCGACGCTTTAACCACTAGGCTACCTCTACGCCCACAGTTTTAACAGACGCTTCACTTATGCAGGTTTCTTTCAGCACTTTTCGTTATTTATATTTTTAGTCAAAGTTGGCTTTTTCATACGCTGCAGTGCACACATAAATAGTTTTGAAAGATAAATGTTTCACGTCCGAATATTTCCAAAATGCCTTTGCAGTCGGGCTTATGCCTTCGTTTCAGTAAACAGAAATTGTGGTACATTAACATTTACACTCCCTGACACTATGTTTCACACTCGATAAAATAACTTCCTGATCAATGTTTTCACTGCCAAATTCGATTTATTTCGCCTTTCACACCCTCTCACAGAAGACAGAACATACATATACGAGATTGTGACGAGGCTTTTGTCTGAGTAAACACAAAGGAAAGTCCGATCAGTCATGACATGCTAATCCATGTTATTATGGCAGTGCTGGGGACATCATCGCTGTCAGGAATGGTGTGTATTGGATCCAAGGCATTCGTGTATGAATCAGTGGTATCGGTGGGACAGTGTGGGCCGAACTAGCTGTACTGAGTTGCAGCCCTTGGCCGAGCCAGGATGATTGTTCCGATGCTTGGTTATTTTTACGTAGAGTGTACACATGTATATAGTCTACAACAACATCTCACACTGGAAATACTCGGGGTAAACTGTGATAAACTAGACTGACGCAATAATAAAGTGGATTTATAGTTGCTACGTGCAAAATACCTGTATACGATATTAACATTGTTGACAACTGAGGATACGTTGGGCCCATATGCGTAAACACATTAATGACATATCTGTGCTTGATGTGCAACAAGAGAGAATCAACGCCATCCGGAGAAACGTGTAAGTCTACCACATGTCTGGCTTCAGGTGTGATGGACGATGCCGTTAAGCATGGTACAAATAATGAAACACCGTCAAAGTGTAGTCTGGTATATATATATATGATTAAAACTTACGGTGTCTCCGGTAAATATAGTAGTCAAATTAATGAAAGCGTTGTTTAGGGCAGCCTCCGTGGTTTAGTAGATAGAGCGTCCGGGGTTGGTTTAAACATATGTACACGTATTTTCAAAAGTGGAACCGGATTGGTAAACAAGCAGTATGTTGCTTATCTGAACACAGCTCCGGGGTACAATTAAGGTATGACGATTACAATCATGAGGAGAAAAACATGCAAATAAAAAACAAACGATAGCTTTCTGCTTATAACATTAGAACTGTTATTGCCGGAGTGAGTGAGTGAGTTTAGTTTTACGCTGCGCTCAGCAATATGGGTTACTGAAGATCCGTATTCTAACGCGGACCTTCACGGGTATATTGTCGGAAAGTACTAGATACTGATAGTGCAATTTCGTTTTAACTACTTACAACACAAATTTGCCTGATAATACAATGAAAGAATGGATAGATTGTAATATTTCAAGGTTATCTTTAGTAGATCCATTAGAGTGGCCGTATGGTAATGAAATAATGTCATATCCTTTAGCATAGAAGTGCATTGTATTTCTTATATCAGTGTAATTAACGCATGAAAAGAAATAATGAATTGGGTCATCATAACACTATCCACAAGAACAAGAGAGATTGGAAGATATAAATCGTTCATATTCATGTGCGTATAGATCCCTGCAACCGAGCCTGAGGCGTGAATGGATAATCTTGCAAAGTCTTGATCCAAAATTAACATTGAAGTGGTTATGACTGTTATTATTTGACACATTAATTTGTTTCTTAAAACCACTCAGGATAGTCGATTCTCTGTGATCGGTAGCCAAAGAATTCCACAGTTTTCCTGCATCTGGTTGAAATGACTTGGTATAATGTGCACTTTACAATCGATAGTTTGAAGTTTCGAACGGTCTCGGAAATTGTAGTTTGTAGTGGCAGAAACCTTAGGATGGGCGAGATTACTCAAATATTTTGGTGTTAAATTGTAATTCATTTTATAAAAATATGGTTCGTTTTTGGATGTATCTTCGCGTGCGTAGTGCTTAGAAATTTGTCTCATCAATTTTTTTGGTTATGACTGGTACTGCGAACATCACCGCATCAAGATTAGGTTTTTCAAGTGTTAGTGCTTGTTGTTTGGTACAGTTGTCCAAAATGTGACAACAATAATCGAATATAGGCAAAATATATTGTACATGGTTTGTAGGGTTTTTACGTGAGAGATGATATTTATACCTCTAAGACAGTTTACCGTGGATGCAACCTTTTAACGGTACAGTTAACTAGTGCTAGTCACATAATGCACTATCTACCTCTGAACAACTTTCAGGAATATCTCTATTTGGAGCTGCTACTCTTGCCTGATCTGTAAAAACGTCAGTCATTATGTTTGCTATTTCAGCATTATCATCATATAGGTTATCGTTATGGATTATCGAAGGAAAACTGTTAATAGTGGCGGTATGTTTACTTTATATATAATTCTTATAACTAAACGCCACCAAGCTTTTGTACCATGTTCATCGTTTATCTGTTCATCTATTTTATTCATGTACACCTTCTTTGCTTTTCTTGCAGCGGGTATAACTCTTTTTCTACTCAACGTGATAAGTGCCCAGTTAACGAAACGGTTAATATTTTCAGAGGCAAAGACAACATGCCAATCAAGAGTATATAAAGCATTGCTAATTCCGTCAAAATCAGCTTGAGTATAACATTTTTATATATTTTCATCTTGTAATTAGTCAATGTTGCACATACAATGTGACATATACAGGGCAATGATAGTGACACATACAGGGCAATGATAGTGACACATACAGGGCAATGATAGTGACACATACAGGGCAATGATAGTGACACATACAGGGCAAGGATAGTGACACATACAGGGCAATGATAGTGACACATACAGGGCAATGATAGTGACACATACAGGGCAATGATCGCTCCAAGCAGGATCTGGAACACCCGATTCTTGTGCAGCTCTAAAACTTGAAACAAATATAAGATCAATTAATTAGTCAGTTATAAGTTGTGTTAGTCCAAATAACAATTGTAATTGATGTATTTTATGTGTGAAAAGATCATTATTAAAGTCACCCAACTACAATTGTGTCCATATTAGGTCTAGCAGAGTTATTGATAGAATGATAGAGTCCTCTATTAAATCCCAGTAAGCTTCTGCTTTGTCTGCAAAATCGTTCCCATAAGATAATTCTGTTTTTTAAATGGTATTTTTATCCACATCGCCTCAAGCCCTGATGAATATCACCGCAGATCAAGAGAAGAAGAGACACTACCAAAGAGACTTTGGCATTGTATAGGCAAAGAACTGTTAAAGAATAAGAAATCTGTTAGTGAGTGAGTGATTGAGTTTAGTTTTACGCCACACTCAGCAATATTCCAGCTATATGGCGGCGGTCTGTAAATAATCGAGTCTAGACCATACAATCCAGTCATCAACAGCATGAGCATCGATCTGCGCAATTAGGAACTGATGACATGTGTCAACCAACCATCGAGCCTGACCACCCGATTCCGTTAGTCGCCTCTTACGACAAGCATGGGTTACTGAAGGTTCATTCTAACCGGACCTTCACGGGTAGAAATCTTTAAAAACTTGTTGGCAGATTTGTTTTGAATAAGTCAAACAAAAGAACCCACCACTAGTCTATACTGTACAATATCAATCATCATCGAATAATTTAATCATACTAACTTGGGCTCTCTCTCTCTTGAGAAATATAACTGATCTAATTTCCTACATATAATTAAAATGCAATATAAATGTGTATTTAAAGTAGGTTACAGATGGAAACCTTCATATGTAACAGGAAAAGCAACAGTGGAAAACAAAACAACATGGAACATCCTGTTTTGTGAACCTGCGTAGTGACCTTGTCTTAATCTCGGCTGTACATATAGATACTCAGGATGCAAGAGCATCCGTTACGTCATACAAATGTGATTGACAGATTGTACCTGACAAATATTTTTAGAAAGAAACAGTGTACACGACAAGTAGTAGCAATGGGTATATACCAGAGGGATATCAACTAACTGTTGGGGTAAGTCACTCGTTAACAATTATCACAGCTACATATAGGAATGTTATAACTGGATTGAATACACGCACTTGCACGTGCAGTTTCAATAATATTGATCACGTGATTATGATAATCAGTGAAACAGTTCAACATACGTCACTAATTCGAAGATATTCGTAATATCTTTGAAAGCATATACTCTAGGGTGGGTGGTTCGATCCTCGACAGAGCCATGGCAAAAAGCGTTACAAACCTTCTTCCTTGTTACCCTGTCTGGCTCTCGACTTTGAAAAACGAAAAGCAAGGACTGGTCAATATACAGATTCTTAATCGGTAATCAATGATAAACTGCGGGTGTGCAATGTTCTTGAACGATAAAGCCTCAAGCCTCATTTCACCTCATCTCATCTGCTAATCAGCCCATGTAGTTAGCAAAGGCACTGTAAGTCCCCATGGTCCCTAGTATGGTGATCTACCTCCCGTTGTTGGCGATTACTGGCCCATTTTTACATTGTATTGTCTAAAAATAGTTTTGTACTTTTAAAGTTATATGCTAGCTAGTTTTAACTTATTTTGTGATAATCTAGTGGTTTTACTGTCCTTCGTTGACAGGGTTTTATATATTATCTGTATGTATTATACATTTAGAACTAGTTTTAGTCACGATATGGCTGAAATATTGCCGATGTGACTTTAAAGTTTCACTCACTCACTCACTCATCTGCTAATCAACATTAGCACTCAAGTACGTGTTGCCTGTGACCATTGAGTAATCTATGGGGAACGATACGTATCTGGATTGAGTTATTTTTCAATAATGACCTATAATAGCTTATTCCTAATGAAAAATCCCCATAAACTACATTAATGATACCCAGCAGCTAAATAGGTCGATACTAGCCCGTATACGATGCTATCTACAACATTTCATAATGCAAAATTGACAACCACATATTTAACTGACTGGTAGTTTTTGTTTGATAGGCGTTTCTCACCAGTTGACGGATGATAAAGTAGTGACACAGACTGATGACAGTTTATATATAGATAGCAGTCTTACTTGTCTTGTTATCTTCATCGTATAATTCACCCTCCATCCTTTTCTTTGTCAGTACTGGGTCATTCCACTCATTTCGTTCCGACAGTAAGGTTACCTTGAAGGTCTTACATGTGTCTTTAAAGGGAAGACATCTTGTTGAATCTACTCTTGATTTTGTAAAGGAAACACACAAAGTTCTGTGTACATGTTTAGATTCTGTATAATATACATTCATCATAATTGATGTCATTGCCATTCCTTCTTCGGAATGTGTTCGTATTTTATCTCCTCACAGATGTAAAAAATCATCAAAAATGTACAAGAATCCATTCAAGATTTGCCTTTTCGTATTTTTGTCTGTTAGGGTGGAGTACAGGATGAGGCTGTTCCCCTCACTGGCACATGTCCTTGTCATGGTTTTCGCGATACAAGTGGAAGGTAAGGTGTCATCTTCTGTTTGATCTACAGTTGGAGACATTTCATGTGATAAAACGAATGCATTCATCCGAAGTTGAAAAAAATGTTTGTCAGCACAGATTTTTCGAAAGTGAAGACTGAGGTAGGATTTGTCTATCTTATTACTGAAAATGCAAGTGAAGCGATCATTGCAGTACAGCTGTCAAGTATACACAGCAGTGTCTACTTCATGCCATGCGGGATACCTGGAAAACAAAATGCCCTAAGGTGGCGCATCAGTTCTTCTGTGACTGCAGCCTTTACGTTGTACTGTCCAAAAAAGGTTATAGAATTTTGAAGGGAAAGTCTAGCTTCAGAACTCTGTTCAGCGAATGATATCGATTTTAGATGAAAGAGTAGTGAGTTTTTGTGAAAAATTATCGTGTCTGTTGGGAGTAAATTATCCATCGAGGACTAGACATTGCAGTACAGTTACACAGTGCTACAGACGATCGAATATGATAAATGGTCCACCAGCATGTGATGTTATGAAACACTGTTTACTGAAGGTGAATTGTTATTAAACCGGTGATCTCCGGAAAGTGATATTATATCTTGTTTTTAGTTGCCGTGACAGTCGCCACCTTCGGATGGTGATCTTGTCATTGACTGTATCTGACATTTAACAACTACAACTGCTGCAGCTAAGTATGCAGATCTATAGATTATTTTAATGACAAAGAAGCCTGCACCACTCGTTGGGGTGGGGTGGGGGTGGGTGGGAGTGTACAGATAGGCGGGTGGGGGTGGGGGTGGGGTTGGTTTTGCACACTTCATCATTTTCACCCCTCAATTAATGATCTTTCAGGACAAAGGGGGTGGGTTGGTGCGCACCCTCCTGAAATTGAAATTGAGTAGACCCGTGAACATACGGGTTACAATTGGCCTTCAGCAACCCATGCTTGTCCTAAGTGGCGACTAACATCGGGGGTTCAGGCTCGCAGATTCATGTTATCGTATTCCAACAGATTGATGCTCTTGATGTTGATCACTGGATTGTCTGGTCCAGACTTGATTATTTACAGACCGCCGCCGTATAGCTGGAATATTGCTGAGTGCAGCGTTAAATGACAAACCGAATTACAAATTAAATATGGTTGCATCAGTATATTAAACCATAGCGTTATATATCCTCGTAATTTATCATTCCATTATGGGAACTGAAGTATATACATAATATTAATTATACCTATATTTAGACATCGTATTTTCATTACATTTAGTATTTTCAATTCCCATTCAAGTCATTCTCAGTACCTTTGCCGTGAGTATTATCAAGACTGAAATGTTCACAGACGCATCAGAAACAAGTACATCCTGCCCCAACGCTGCCTGTATCGGTCAGGCTGTCAACATCACGTGTGACATCACAGGAGTATACGAGTCTATTGGGTGGTCCCGGCCGGATAATATTGAAGTGGTAACCTGCCTGCGGAACGGTGGTAAATGCTACATAAACGTTCCGAATTATGAGACAGTCTTAGTTTCCGATGAGAAACACATACTTCGCATCAAGGAGTTTTCCACGCGTGATTTTTAACCTTTCTTCCGCATATTAAATCCCTAAAAACTAAATGCCTGAAGGCACTCGATTTATTGAAAGTCGTGTCTAATTCAAGGTGGGGAGGGGATCAAGCTACGCTCCTACACCTTTACAGATCACTTGTCCGCTCGAAGCTTGATTATGGCTCCATCGTATATGGTGGAGCCTGTAAAAGCAACTTAAAACATTTAGATTCAGTCCACCATCAAGGTCTGAGACTTTGTCTTGGGTCTTTTAGAACTTCTCCTATTGATAGTCTCTATGTTGAGGCTGATGAGCCATCCCTTACCCAACGTCGTATCAAACTCTCTTTACAGTATATAACAAAACTCTATTCTAACGAGTCTAATCCTGCATTTAACTGTGTTTTCAATCCTTCTTCTGAGGAGTTGTACAACAAAAAGCCTTCTCTTGTTCCGCCTCTTGGTTTAAGAATTAAACCATTTCTTTCTGCTGCCGGCATTGAGCTGGAAAATATAGCTCCTTCCCGTCTTCTTTCTTCTCCGCCTTGGCAATTGGTTAGGCCATAAGTTGACCTAACATTAACAGCATTTAAAAAAGCAGAAACTAATGAATTACAATATAAACAAGAATATCATCAATTAAAAAGTCAATATAATACATATAAATCCTTATTTACAGATGGATCCAAGGATGGTGGCGCGGTGGCATGTGCCACTGTCATTGGATCCAGAACAATCTCCTCTCGTTTACCAGATAACAGCTCTATTTTTACAGCTGAAGCAAACGCCATATTAACAGCCTTAAAATATATTAAAAAACACACTAAATATCAACAATATATCATCTTTTCAGATTCGCTTTCTTGCCTTCAGGCTATTAAAAATATTTCTTGTAAACATCCACTTTTATTAGAAATTATTGAATTGTATAATGAACTTGCTACTGGCCAATGCGACATCGTCTTTTGTTGGTTACCCAGCCACGTTGGCATTTCTGGGAACACAATGGCTGATCTTGCTGCTAAGGCAGCACTCAACAAATCTGTGACACCACTTCTTCTTCCTTACTCTGATTACAAAGCTTGCATTAGAACTTACATCCGTGATCTGATGCAGAAGAAGTGGGACACTCAAGTAGGTATTAATAAACTACATGAAATAAAACCTTATATTGGTTACACTCACTTGGGTTGTCAGTCCAGATTTGAAGAGGTCATTATGCGACGATGTCGCATTGGCCATACAAGGTATACTCACAAATACTTGTTGAAAGGTGAAGATCCTCCGTTTTGTATCCCTTGTGATGAGAAAGTCACAGTCAAGCATCTCCTGCTTGACTGTGTCGAATTCTCCATCATAAGGGATAAATATTTTAATGTTAAAACTGTTAAGGATCTTTTTAACACTGTTCATGTTCATTTAATTCTTGGTTTTTTAAAAGAAATTGATTTGATCACTGCTTTTTGATTAATATGCTCTGTAAGTAGATGTATTTTAATGATTGGTAGTTTAGATTGTTAACTTAGATTGTTAGTGGCTGTGCCCTCGAAGGGGGTTGACGTAGCGTAAAATTATTGTCCTCCTGAGAGGGTACGTAAGTCCCAAAACATTTCAAGTAAATTTCAGCATACCAGGTTTTTAATCGTAGTATTTTTGTCATTTTAATGTATGGCTAAATCTCAGTATAAACGCCAATGGCTGAAGGGATGGTGTAAATCCAACTAGGGTCCATGCAGGTAGCAAAAGTAATGTAAGTCCCCATGGTTCCTAGTATGGTGATCTACCTTCAGTTGTTGGCGATCTATAGCCCATTTTTACATTGTATTGTCTTCTTTAATTGGAAAATTTTAGCTTTGTTCGCTAGTTTTATATTGATAGCTGTGATTGTCTAGTATTTTTACTGTCCTTCGTCGGCAGGTTTTTATAATAATAACTATATATATTCTATTACAATGTCAAATGTTCTCGTCACGATATGGCTGAAATATTGCCGATGTGACGTTAAATAATAACTCACTCACTCACTCCACGCGTGATTCAGGTACCTGGAATTGTCGTGATGGCACGAATCCTCTCAAGAAAACTTGTCACGTGACTGCACATGGTAAGCCCAACTGTAAAATTTGCCCAGATTGAGCTTGTTATTTAACCTGATGTATGTACTTGAAGCAGTAGACCAGTAAAATAATTAACGATAGATTTGTTAAAGGATGTGAGAGATGAAAAGAAGAAACAAAAATATTTATCAAATCAACTTGACAAACAAATTATTCTTATGAAGTTGCAAATGTCGTTCTTGTAAGACATTTAGAAGTTGGATGAACATGCGTACATGACAGTACATCGGTTCCCAATTGCGCTGATCGATGCTTATGCTGTTGATCACTGGATTTTCTGGTCCAGGCTCGATTATTTACAGACCGCCGCCATATAGCTGGAATATTGCTGAGTGCGGCGTAAAACTAAACTCCCTCACTCACCTGTGAAAAACCGAGTTAGAATTGATCTTCAGTAACCCATGCTTGTCGAAAGAGGCGACTAACGGGATCGGGTGGTCAGGCTCGCTGACTTGGTTGACACCAGACTCGATTATATACAGACCGCCGGCATAAAGCTGGAATATTGCTTTACTGCAACGTAAAACTAAACTCATTCACTATTTTTTATAAGACGTTTCAGAGCTTGATGATACTTTTCCTTAATGAAGGAACTGTTATCCATAAAATGTGTCATGTAACATCGGAAGTAACTTTGTTTTCAAATCAATAAACATTATCAGTATATTAAACTATGGTGCAAGTATTACCATGGAGAAACAATGCGTACTGTGCTGAGGCAGATGGGTAGTCTCACAACAGGTCATGATCTCTGACTTGTCCGTCTCCTGCCTCCAGTTTATGGTGTATCATATTGCGTATACCTAATTACAACATGTATTTCGAGCATCTGGTATAGGACCATGAGCCTTGTACCTTTTACTTCAATATAATTGCAACAAATGATTTCAAAATGTTTTTTGTGATGTCTTACAGATACATTTTAGACACATGTCATCGCTTCCAAATTGCACAGATAGATGCTGTTGATCACTGGATTGTCTGTTCCTGACTCGATTATTCACAGACCGCCGCCAAATAGGTGGCATATTGCTGAGTGCGGCGTAAAACTAAACTCCCTCACTCACTCAGGTACATGTTAATTATTATTGAAGCGTTGGCTATGTGATGCATTTTTCAGAGGACCTGGGTGATGTTGCATCAAGACTGCACCTTAATTGTGCACCACTGAAGAATGAGACGTTCCGTGTTTTGGACGCATGTACGGGGTTGAGCGCTGATCCAAGAGTTAACGTGACGGTGAGGCAGTCTCTGACATGTATTTGTGTCTCTAACAAAGACCAGTACCCATGCATGAACATATGATAAATGTAACATCCTGTGTGGACTTTGATTGTATTATAGAAATGTTCATGTTAAATGGCAAAATGCAGTATTCCAGTCCAAATGTTTTTGACACGACCAAGGGACCCAACTCTGCACAGCAAATTGTATCAACAGTGTTATTCGTGTTATCGCTAGTTTGGTTAGTCCGGGAGGTTTTCAGTTTGTATTATCCATAGATCTAGAGCCGCAAGGGTTGTCACAAACGTATTTACTCACTGACACCAGGGGCGGACCCAGGATTTAGAAAAAGGGGTTGGGGGTGCACATAAATCATGAAGTCCAAATGTTAGGGGGAAAATGCTCCACATGGAAAAACAAATCTCGGAGGAAAAGGGGAAGGGGGATGCGCCACTGTTCACTCACTAGAACTAGCAAACGGATGGTATATTGACTCGGGACAACATAACATCAATTTTCCTTTTCCTTTTTTCAGTTGAAACTCATGGATAGTGAATGGACATATAATGGGTTGACAGGCGATGTTGCAGTTCCAGTTCGCGACGCAGCCTATGATGTCAATACAACATGTTGTGTGGTTGGTCCTGGAACAAACTGCCTCGAACTTTCCCAACGACAACGGACAGCCGTATGTTCACGCCCAGGTAATGATGTTGAAACAATGTGGCTAATGTATTTCCCTCTTCATGCCAGTGTGCATTTGTGCCTGTGGACAACGTCTTATGGGTTGAAGACTTAGAGCTCAAGTTGGCTAACATTTTGTAGACTACAAATATGCTAGAGATACTTCAAACGGTGTGAAGCGGAGAGTGGCTGTATTGGCTTTGTCACGAATGACTGCATGACTAGCAGACAGTGGTATGAGCAAAGGTGGCTCACTGATGCCCAACCTTTATCTAGCAGGCAGAGGTATCAGCCGAGCTGCTCACTGACACCCAACCTTTACCTAGCAGACTCTCGTATCAGCCGAGGCTGCTCACTGACACCCAACCTTTACCTAGCAAACAGTGGTATCAGCCAAGATTGCTCACTGACACCCAACCTTTACCTAGCAGACAGTGGTATCAGCCAAGTTTGCTCACTGACATTCAACCTTTACCTAGCAGACAGTGGTATCAGCCGAGGTTGCTAAATGAAAAGACTTGCGTATGGAATCTGGACAGTAAATGTATTATTTGACAAAAAAAATAATGTACTTACACTCATATATCAGTCTTAATAATTTGGGAGATTGCACGGTACCATGGAGTATTGAAGTTGCCTTACGTAATGGATCCATGCCCGTACTATTTTGATAAATTGATACCATTACAAAATCCACTTATATCTCATTGTAGGTAAACCTAAAGCGAATCCTCACATGCGTTCGACAGGTCATGCAGTTGAACCCACGTTGAGTGGTGCAGTGGTCATCGTTGTTGGTGTAATGTTGGCGGTTAGAGGCTTGTGAATTACCTTGGCTTACCTCTTTTGAAGGAAGAACAGACGATATCATACGAGTCAGTATGAACACCTGGCAATGGAAACAATAAAACGTTCCTAAATGACTTCCACATGTTGCTTAATTTGTCTTGCCTGAGGTCGTCCAAAGACATAAAGTCACGCTTGACTTCATCAGTGTTCCATTCACGTCATGGCGTGGTAGTTTGATTGGAAGGAAGCCTGAAGGGACGCGATAATTAGACATTACCGCTTTGTGAAACACACGATTAGTTGAATGGTGCTGACCAAACAAACGTAAACGATGGGACGCAACTTGTTACATTGATGACCTCTGGTTCCGAGGCGACTTAATGGTTGAATTTAAAATAACGAGCAGAAGGTACAGCTAAAATGTTCTGAGAGTGTGTCTTCCGATTTATGGGAAATTCTCGATAAAGTGTCACGAACTTTGTACGACTTTCTGCAATTTTAGTTGCTCTGTATGTTTAACCATAACCGTCTTCGTAAGGAACTGCTTCAGAAACGTTTTATTTTTCTGAAACAAGATATGTTTTTAATAATATCAATGAGCAAAGGTGAATGCAGCAAACATGTTCCTTTTATCCCGTCAATGATATATCACCAGGACGTGTACGCACAAATGTACAGAAAGGTTTGTTTAGTGTTTAACTCCGCACTCGTCAGTATTTCGGCTTTGTCGCGGCGGTCTGAAAATAATCGAATCTGGGCCAGACAGTCCAGCGATTGACATCATGAGCTTCGATCCAAACAATTGGGACACGATCACATGTGTCTACCAAGTCATCGCGCCTCACCACCCGATCCGGTTAGTCGCCTCAAGCATGGGTTGCTGAAGACCGATTCTAGCACGGGTCTAAAACGTTTAATTGATTGTTTTATTCAGTAATGGTATCATGACATTACTTCAGGTAGTACATTATGGCTATACAGTAATATCAAATGTGAATTTGGATATGAATTATACTTAGATGCTTCACATCCAAACACTGTTAGGTATTTTACTATGTGTTATAGTGACTAATTCAGGACAGCCATCGTCCAAATATAATTTCAAATATCTTTTTAATGAATGTTAATTGAATCTGTCCAATGCAGTAAATACCTGCATGTGAAATGTACATTACAACACATCAGACTGGCAAGATGATCATTCCTATACTGTCATGGCATAGGCATATCTGTTGCACGAGATTTCAATGACTTTAAGAATTGTTCCTTTGTGATTATTTACTGATCTGAACTGTTGGTATTTATATAGCTTCACTCCTATCAGTTTGGACTCAATTTATTTAAGCTTGGGGTCCAAGCTTTACGGAGCAGAGGGAAGTTGTTATAGTGACTAATTCAGGACAGCCATCGTCCAAATATTTAAAAGTCCAAAACTATGTACTCAAGACATGTGAGACTTTATTGTAATATATAAATGACGCTAAGCTGTATTTTTAATCACTACTGTACATCCTTATCACTACCGCATTGTAAATTGACTTGTCAGCCCATTAATTATTGTATAAGAGTCTGACATTTATAACCTCCATTGGTAATCCCCCCTTGGCCGTGTCTGCCATCACATCAACTGGTCAAGGAAGTACTATTGTTTTTCTGTCTGTCCATTGATGAGTCGTCGCCTGACCATTGTTGTCAAAAACTGTATGTATATATATATATATATATATATATATATATACTAGGTATACTCACATCTAGAGAGTGAAAGAGAAGGAGTACGAGGCTGGTATTCCGACTGTCTGCGTTGGGACGACCACGAGCAGGATAATGCCGCTCGTTGGAAACGCCCTGGGGTTGAGCAGGTACCCCCGCTCACCTTAGGTATGTTTTGTGTATTTGTTTGTCATGTAACTAAAGACGTTTGAACTCAACTATGCCTTCGTCTTTATCAACGCACACTTCATCTGTAATAATGAGCTAATTCCCCAGTCGACGCGTACACAACGCGTTGACATATGTTACGAATTTTGTGTCATAAATTAAAGAATGAAACTGGGCGTTATGAAAATATTGATAGGTAGAAAAGATACTGTATCTACTTTAAAGAAAATAATGTAAATGTAATTGAAGATGAATATCATTTCGTTTCATCGAAAACAACGCATTAAACTTTATTTTTGGAAGAAACCAAGTATGTTGAAATTCGACAATTATTTACAAACCCATCCAAAAATAGTATTGCAAAATTATGTAAATATATTAAGCTATGCATGTGAGTACCAAAATGTTTTGTCCAGCCTCGTTTGTAATTGCAAAGTTTATGTATATTTCAATGGATAACCATATTTTATCCTGTATACACTAAAATGATGACGACCGATGAAGGTCCGGGTTAGAATATTGGCCTTCAGTAACCCATGCTTGTCGTAAGAGGCGACTAACGGGATCTTGTCAGAATCGCTGACTTGGCTGACACATGTCATCGTATCCCAACTGTGTTGAACGATGCTGATGCTGCTGATCACTGGATTGTCTGGCCCCGAGCCGATTATTTGCAGACCGCCGCCATATAGCTGGAATATTGCTGAGTGCAGCGTTAAATAACAATCAATCAATTTAACGCTCACCGTTTCACGAACACATGTTATCGACAGTTTTGGATTGTGATTCAGACATACTTTTGATGTAGTAGAAATCGAACAATGAACTGAGATGAGTTATGGCTGGTGACACAAAAATCATTTCCCCCCAAAATGCTGAAAGAAAATCCTCAAGTTTTACAGATATTGAACGTTCCAGTGACTAGCTGGTTACTCAAAAAATACTCGTCAGAAAATGTATGCCTTGAAGCGCGGGAAATATATACATGTACATCGACCGTGTCCAACAACAGTACAACATGAGGAGTCGAACCTGGTCTGGCAGATGACGTGTCAATATGTTGAACCTGGTCTGGCAGATGACGTGTCAATATGTTGAACCTGGTCTGGCAGATGACGTGTCAATATGTTGAACCTGGTCTGGCAGATGACGTGTCAATATGTTGAACCTGGTCTGGCAGATGACGTGTCAATATGTTGAACCTGGTCTGGCAGATGACGTGTCAATATGTTGAACCTGGTCTGGCAGATGACGTGTCAATATGTTGAACCTGGTCTGGCAGATGACGTGTCAATATGTTGAACCTGGTCTGGCAGATGACGTGTCAATATGTTGAACCACGGCCTATGGGGAAAGCTGTACGATACTGGTAATACAACACATGTTTGAGTTAGATCAGGCGAAAGAAGCACAATCATTACCTATTCACCAATGTAAATACTGTATCATTTGAATGAACTGCCATGTGACCTCGAATGTACACACAGCTAGTGAATCCCAGCCGACACATCTTGAGGAAGACGCCCTTACATCAACACAACATGCACACGTATGTCCGGCTGTATGCCTGGAGGATTAACACTGCTAGTGGCGACGTGTTGATAACTCTTGTTTGTTGTACGTTCTGAGCTGGAATCTTTACCCATCTCCTGAGATCGACTGTTTGTGTCTGGTTCACAACGACTCTCCGCTGACCATGGAGTATCACACAGTCGCATTGATTGGAGTGTTATTCATGTATGTGACTCGGCTATCTACAGGTAAGGTATTGGTTAATCTATATGTCGGTGCTATAAGAAATATCATACTATTACATGTGTCATCAGATGGCACTCGAGTGTTCACAGTCATCGTCCTTAGAGGAGGCAGGATCCTCTGTAGATGAAGTTCCCGTTTCATATCCTTGATTTGGTCGGGACATTGTTGCGACACTGGCACACGCACGATGTAGTCACTGAGATAACACACTGATCATACGAGTGAGTGAGTGACTGAGTGTGTTTGATATTACGCCGCTTTTAGCAATATTCCAGCAACATCACGGCGGGGGACACCAGAAATGGGCTTCACATACTGTACCCATGTGGGGAATCGAACCCGGGTCTTCGGCGTGACGAGCGAACGCTTTAACCATTAAGCTACCGCCCCGCCCCCTGATCATACGATAAAATACATTTATATGTAAGTGTGCGTACGTGATTGTGTGTTGATCTGTGTGCATGCGTGCGTGCTTGCGCGCGCGTGTGTTTGTTGGTGTGTACGTGTTCGTATGTAACAACCAGCAGTTATTATGAGCTGGTTACAACTACTGTGACAGACAACTGGCGTTAACCAGATGGTTTATTCAACAGAGGCAATTACTGTATCCCCGTTCAGAAAGCCAGTCCTAGCGAGCTCCCCTTCCCGAGCCACAGACGGGGGTCTGTATACACTCATGTGTAACTACAATGGCAGAACAGCCGACGGGGACTTCTTCGTTATGCAAGTATTCTGGTACAGAGACAATAGCCTCGTGCTCATCTCACCATCGGGGTCAGTGACCCCATCTGATCTGGAGGGTCGTGTCAGCGTGGTACATAACGCCTATCAACACAACTTATCTATCAGCATTAACGCCAGCATAGACAATGGTTCCGTGTGGATGTGCAGTGATGATTTTACCAGGCAAAACAGCAATGACATAACTATCAGTAAGTATTAACAAAACAATCGTGGCTACCTTAATATCGAGATATAATGTTGACAGATTAACAATACTGTCAATAACATTACCACAGGTCCCACGTACTTATAGTACTAGGGGTGACTATTGAGGGGGAAACAACTATTGCAATAGCGATAGTCTATTGCGGCCAACTATTGCAACACAATTGCAATGGGTTTTTTTCTCTCCTTGAATTGTCTCATTTGAATTCATTTTCCTATGAATGTCTAGTTTATATGAAACAAAAACAAGCGGAAGTAGTCTGTCTCTTTTAAAAACTGACAAAAAACTTGAAACCCAGATCAAGTTTGCTTAAGAGGTAACAGGGGCGGATAACTCTAAATCAAGATGAACGAATCTGGTATTTCCTGAATTTTACGCTGACACAGTGCATTTATCAACGGAAGTCAATTATTAAACTATCGGGGGTTATACATACTATCGATGCATCGGAGACTCAACAATTACAATCCATCGATAGTTCGCAGGGGCTGAAACAGCTCTTTAAAAAATGGGGGTCTGAACACTCTTGAGAAGGGGGTTGTGTGGA